ATGCAATTCAAAGTTTGAAGCCAAAAATGACTGTAAGATAGCGTCATTTGAAATAATGTAAAGAAAAAGCTATTGAAAAGGAGAAAAATGGATGTTTTTTGGTCAAATAATTGTGGAGTGTACAAATGGCAGCAAGCTGTTAGTGATTATAAGATTGACTTCAAAAACCCAGATAAAGCATGGCATAAAGGTTTTTGACCATTTTATAGAGCCGATCAGTGTGCATTTGCGTACCAAACATTCATCAACGAATTATTTCATTAAACAAAAAAGTTTAAGAGCAAAGAAAAGAAAAAGTTAATGAGATTTACTTTCCTGTTGCCATTTTGACTTTCTAGTTTCAAGTATAATCTTTTTGAACATCGTTTCAGATATGCTTGATGTGTCTGTGAATGTGTGCATATCCTGTCTGATATATGGTGAAGAAAATCTTCAGTAATATCACAATGTATCAGTCATTGAATATAAACAAAACTGTAGTTTATAGCCGTTGCAATCAGCTGCTGTCTAAGTCTGATTGACCGCCGTTCTAAATCAAACATTAATTTTGCTTTTCGAAGACGTACTTTTTAACTTTTTTTTTTGGTAAAGTGTTATGATATTTTACGATTAATATTCATATAGAAGTAATTTTTTTTTATTTTTTAGGTATAAGATGAGCTCCTTATTTTGTTGTTAATGACGCCTGTTTCTTGATCTAACTAATTATATTTTGCCGTTTCTCTGTTGCCTTAGTTTAAAGAGAAACTGATGAAATTGTTGACTTTGTAGTTTGTGAGGAAATAATGCTTGCCTTTTGCTTTATTTGTTTGTTCCAGTCAATTACACAACTGCTTTCTGTTTTTCATTCAAATTGTATCTTTCAAGGATACTATGCAATAACTGTTTTCGGCCTACTTAATTCCAGTTAAAATGACTAGTAAACTAACTAGTTTGTCGATTGATTTTTCTAGTTTAGTTAAGTAAAGAGATTTAAAACAAAATTAAGGTGTCGTAGTGCTCGGTTTGTGATCTTTGCTAAACACAGATACTGTGACCCAAAAGAATGTTTTCAGTAGATAAATTATAAGAGTTGTAAATCTGTTAGTAGACTTTGGAAGAAGAGTCGTTGAAAACAAACTTGAAATTTATTATTACCGACTACCCTATGTTACTTGCTTATTCGCTGCATACGCGTTATAAAGCCGATTGACTTATTAGTCGTTATGCATATCCGCTTTCTATATAGTCGGCTTTTGCAGTCTATAATGTCTTGTTGTTGGGACGTTAAACATGAAGAGAAGCAGGAAATTTATGCGTTTTGGTAAAACTTTGCATCAGATTTACTGGACGTGAAACAACTGTTATTGTTTATTACTGACGACTGAGAAATAATGCGTATGATGTATTCGTGTTTCCGAAGAAAGTAGATCACAAGCAATTGCAGGATATCACTTCTTTTCTTCCATTACGACACAGTAGTAAGCAGATAATAGAAACATCGAAACAACTGTATTCCAGGTTTCAAATTGTATCTCGAAGGTAATGATAACAGTCATCAGTACAGCAAATGTTAGCAGTTACAAAATTTTTATTGTTTTGGGCGAGTATATGTTTATAGTGTCACTTAGAAAAATATTTTTCGCTAAAAAATGATTGATGAAAGCCTACATTTGCCCAAAAAATACTGAGTTGGCCGTCATAATCGGGAAAGAAAAAAAAAGTTGGTTATTCAACGGATGAGTAAATGTGAATCATAAATTTTCTCTTCAAAATTATGCTTGTTAGTTACAAAACAAAGTGCCATCTAAACTACCTAAACTAATGTAAATCTTAGCGTATTATCTAATGGTTATTGAATCAGTGAAACTTTCAGACTTTTACGTACATTATAGCTTTTGCAGAACCGTTAGGCAAATTATTTTGACAAATCGTTAGGCTGTGTTTTAAAGGATCTGTTTTTTTTCTTTTCCAGCTGGTGATACAGTTTAGCAAACAGTGAAAGTCGTAGTATCTGAATGAGGAGTACAAGTCAAGTTCTTGTTTGATTTTTTATGTTCTTTTTTTTTCTGGTTTGTTTCTATTTTGTTTCTGATTAGCTCTTCTTTGTTCTTTCCTTGTTAATCTGCTCTTACTTATCCATGTCTTTGACTGTTATCAACGCTTCTGGTCGTTACTTGTATACTGCTTTTACAATTACTGTCTTTGTTGTTAATAGTACCCTTCGTAAATGCATTAAAGTAAATAAAAAAATATTGTTTTAGATAGACAGTTACAGTTTTATGACATTTTAACAATAGAATATCTTTTTATAAATACGCATCGCACGTAAGATCTATTTATTTGTTTCAAAATTATCAATAGAAATTTTTAAGTGTTTTCATGAATTACCGAAAACAGGGTAACACAAAAATGTGAAATGAAAAGGTGAAAAAAAAAAATGGAAAAAAAAGGATGGGAGATACCCCTGTGAATGACTTTTTCATTTTTGTGACAGGTCATGATGCTTTGTTTAAGGATTTCGATCAGTGAAGGATTATGTGAAAACACCAAATGGTTTGGTTTCAATGCTTATTATCTATTCTTTACACATCAAATAATAAACACATTTACTTCATTAATTTACCTCTTTTTTTCTTTAATAATGATGAAAAAAAGAGAATTTTGATTTAAACTTGCTTAACATCAAAACACATAAAAAAAACGTGAAAACAAAAAGAAGTTGCATCTTTTTATACAGATAACAACAACTTGAAAAAATTTGAAAGAAGTCACATTTGCAAGTCTAAAATTGCCATCTTCTAAAATTCAGTATTTGTTAGACTGCAGCGAAAGATTGTAGGCTGTAGAAAAAACAAAAAAGTTTATAAAATTGAGTGTTTTAACAATTACAGTGTTATCCTTCAACAGTTTTCAAGTTATTTACTTAGCAACTGCGTAGCAAACGTCAGAATTTTTTGAGACAGTATAATGTCTAGCAATAACAGCTAAACTTTTAATTCTTAAAAATTGTTTTTTTCTTTTTGTTATGCAACTTTCAAAGTCTCAAATCAATGGTGAATATGCGAAGAGAAATTGTTTTGTTCATTTTGTTGTTTAAAAAGAGGAGAAAAAAGTAAGAAAAAAAGATGTAAGAAAAAAAGTGAATATTTCCGTCATAAAGTTGAAGTAAAATAAAATTGAAAATTTGTTAAACAATGGTTAAGTGCTTTATTAATTTCCGTTAAAATGACACAAAACTGCAACACAATACCAGCATCCAAATGCATTTTAATAATTCTTCAGTTTTTGGGATTAGATCGATCTCAGCCACCGTAATCGGTTTTATCAACCAACAAACAAAGAACAACAGCTTTTCATTACATTAATCAACAGCTTAGTATTGCTGTCATTTGGATTTTCGCAGCAGTTTATTCAGCATTTATAAAATTTTTAGTTCAAGTAAGTTTTTCTTTTCTATCCTATGGTTATTGAGATATTTGAGTAAAAGTTAAAGAAAAAAATTCGCTTCAACACAAAAAACAGCTTCTGTTAGATTGAAAAACAGAGATCATTTTTTTTGAAACAGTAGTTCTAACAATAAGTTTACTGCTGATAACGTAACAGAAATCCAATTTTTTAAGTCAAATAGATAGAGTTTGTCGTCGCATGTTAGTTCTCAAAAGTAATCTTATTTTTTGCACAAAAAAGTAGTTTTTTGAAAAGAGGATGACTTGTAAGCTGAGCAGACAAATTTTTAATTTGAGATTAACAATTAACTGTTAAAAATCAGTAATTTAGTTGTTTTGAAGCCAGAAAATGCAGAGTTTCTGGAAATGTTAAACTGTCAAACGAGTTTGTAGTCATTTCGGTTGTTCTGTTCATCGTTCAAAAATTGTTTTTATGTAGCACAGTTCTTATTCTGTTTTACAGGTAACCATTATGGATTATATGCATTTTACTGAATTTGGACAACCAATTTATGATCGTTGTAATGTAAAAAATACAACTGTTAACAGAGATTCCACTACAATGTCGTCATTTTTGGAAACTGCAAAACCGCCGCTGTTTGATAATATGCATTTGTTCAGCGATCATGATTATCAGCTACTGACAAATCTTGGTCAAAATTTTACGCACAACTTTGGTGCACCTCAACCAGGATCATTTCAACAAGTTGCTATTGACTTCTGGCTTAAATTAGCTATTTATTTAGTTTACGAGTCAATTAAGTGTAAACGTCAGCATTGTTTTATGACAACAACAACAACAACAACAACAACAACAACAAGAAAGAAACAGTTTGCAATAGAAAAACGAAAACTGAGAAAGGATAAAATAAGCAAATTTTGTAGATTTACTTTTTACAAATTATTACAGATTCTGCTACAATACATATTATACCCAAAAGTGATAGTAGACAATTATTTTTTCTCGACAAATATTTTGCTTTTTTTTTTTTGTTAAGTCGGTAAAAATATTACGACTGAAACTGTAAAACAGTTGAAACTTTTTACTAAATTTTCTTCTTAGCCTATAAAAGCACAGATAATCATACTTTTTTTTTGACAAGAGCAAATTTTCTTTATTGTTTTTTATGGTATCGAGAATATTTTTTTTAAAAAGCATCGATTTAAAAGTTTGTTTGATATAATATCTAAAATTGTACCGTACTGTATTAGTGTTGTTTTGGTAATTTTTTCTTTGAATATAAGTTGAAATTTGTTAATCAAAGGTGGATTTGTTGTTGCTGTGGTTGTGTTGTTTTTTTGAATAGGGTTATCTGTTACTGCTATATTGGGTTTGTTTTTTGTTTCATAAATGAAATAAATTGTACTTTTGTCAAAATGAAAAGAAATTGTTGCATAGGAAAAGGCAAAAAAAAAAATTTCTGTTTATCTCTTGTCATTTTTTTTTTTTTCGACAAACTTTTTGTAGCTTGTTTAACATTAGAAATTCTAAGCATTGATAAAGCTTTACTTTAAATCTAATTACAGAACAATTTTATTACCACCGGAAGTTCAATACCGTCACTGCAGTTGAGCTCAAGACCAGAAAGATTTCTTTCTCAACCAAAGTCATTCTCTACTGGTGTGGTAATACCGGTGCAGAAGTAAGAAAAAATATAATTGTTCAGCAAAGCAAATTTATATATTTATCTTTTTTTTTTTTTTTTTTGAAAATTACTTATACTTTTTTCTTATTGAAAAGTAACATCATTTAAGTTGAGTTATTTGATAAACGCAAAAAACGGCAATCACTGTATAGCAGTCAACTTTTCATTCTTTCATAAAAATTTTTTCCTTTACCAAATAAAATATATAGTATAATTTTAGATGAATTGAACAAATTTAGTAATTGAATGATAACTTTAACACAAACTTTTAGTAACTGTTAATTTATGTTCAAGAAATGACAATGAAAGGTAAACGAACTGAGCATTTGTAGAAGCATTACTTTCGGTTTTTGCTTTGAGTTTATACAATCAAATAATTTAATTGTATGCTTAGAACTCTGTCTTTTGCAGATAATTGAAAAAATATTAAAAAATATTTCAATTTAATTTTTGGCCTTATTCTTTTTTCGATGTTTTCAACTGCAACAAGATTAAAAATTAGCAATATCAACTATTAGACTATTTATTTCTATTTATATTTCCCAAAAACTTTCAGTTTTACTTAATTTAAAAACTACACTCAATAGAAGATTAGGTATTACAGTCTTATGTGTAATTTGACTTCATCTGAATTTGGTATTTGAGATGCAGCTAATATGACTAAAAATGCTGAAGTAAGATGTTCCACAGTTTAATAATGACAAGCATGAGCGCTGGATACTTTTTATTCGTATTTATTTGCCAG